AAGAGAAATGCACTAGAGTACTAGAATGCACTAAATATAAACATGTTGAATTCAGAATATTCGATGTCATTAAATCTATGTAAGTCTCTCAAGTTAGAGGGATTTCTTTTTGATAGTATAGGCGAAAATCATTAACAAGATCACTATCATTTACTTTAAGAATTCTCAAGATTGAAGAATTTTTCTTAAATCAAGTATATTGTTACCAACAGTAAAAAATACCTTTTCCCTCTATAGTTTATTTAACTGGAATCTAAATTTTTTGTTTGCTTTATTTTCAGCTATGTAACACTGCGAGAGAAATGAGATCTCCGGAGAGGCCAGCAACAAGTCCAGTAGTTTAATGTAATACATATTTTAGTACTCGTCCTTCATATACTGCATAATTGCGATTCATTCACCTTACATTTAAAAAGAAAAGCGAAAACTGCAGAATTCTGGAAGCACCCTGAATGTTGAAGTAAAATAAAGTGTTTACAAAATGGCCTAATATGTTTCGTATTTTATTTAAATTAAAGATAGTAGCAAATGTTACATGGATTTCGCAAATTTAGTATTAGGTATTTGAAAAATTTCATCGCCTTTTTAAACATGTGCAATGCTCAATAAAAAAGACGTATTCATTTTCAAGCTGTTCCGTTGTTCGATCCGGCCTTTAATCATTAGAACTTCTTTCTCGATCAAATATTTTTTCGGTCTTCCTGAAAGTGACTTTTTATTAAAGTCAAATTCGCTTCATCTAAAATTTTTAATTTACTTCTTCCAACATCGGCGGATACAATGCTCTTTCCACAGGTTTACTATATATTTCCCTTTATTTCCGCAGCAGTCATTTTTGGTTTTTAAAAAGAAGAAAAAAAAATGTTGTTATGCAATCAAATTCCACTTTTATCTGCAATAAAAATGAGGTTATGTTATTATTTAAGATACAGCAGATAACATTTAAGCTCATGAGCACATTTGAAATTTATATGTATATAAAAGATTTATCAATTCGCAGTAACTTTCACATATTTACAATTAGAAAAACTTTGTATGTTATTACTCAACTCACATGAAATTTTAATATGTGCGAAATTATAACGGTCAGTTTTTAATTATTGATACCTGCGAACAACTATTTGATATTTTACATAACAATAACAAGAATATAGCCAGGAAGGAATAAGAAATGCATTTTCTATCTGTTAGTAACGAAGGAGCTCTTAGTTACTATTTTTAGACTTTTCCAAACGTACTTCTTTTAGTCATTATTATTAAAAAAAAAAAAAAAAAAAAATAACATGGAGCTTAGAGAAGAAGTAAAGATTATGTTACATAACTAGAAGCAAACATTATAAGTTTTAAGAATTCCAAGGTATCGCTAACTAATACTCAGTAATCTACATAAAAAAGTCGCCTCCTACAATGTACTGTGAAAAATACAAGCTTTGTTTATTATTTATATATGCAACAAATGCCGTAAGGTAGCTCTGGTATTCCATGTGAATATTATACAAAACAATTTTGGCACTAATATTTTGAGCATACAACTGTATTCTTACGTATATATAATATTAAACATAATATAATTATATTTTAAAGAAATAATATGCTTCCATGTTATGGAACATCTAATATTAGTATGGTATACAAAAAGTTTCAGAAATAAAACATTATATGCTTTGAATTCAGAAGAAAGTAAACTTTATCTGTGAAGATATAAATGTTAAAAAAATTTATTTGTTCAGATGGCTTTAAATTTACTGAGAAATAAGGAATTCTTCATAAACCTTTTCAAAAATGCTTAGTTTTTAACTGTTGCCTTTGCTTTGCTTTATGGAACAGTATTAATTTTGAAAGGTTCCGTTATATGTATTTTGTTTCATGTCATTCTAAAACTAAATTAGTTTATTTTGTAGAAGCATCTGCTCTTCCTAATTGTTCTGACATCTGATGACATATTCGACTTAATTTTTAAGTTTCTTGCAATTGGCGCTTTTAAATTTAGTCATGAAATTTTTGTAATCTCGATAATAACTCCATTTTATATGCAAGTGTATTATAAATACAAATCTGAATTATACATGTATTTAATAATGATAAATTTAATTAAATAATCAGATGTACATTATTTACGTAAAAATTTAAATATTGCTCGTGTATTTGACTGCAAAATATCACAATAAACAAATATAAGGAGGTTTCTTGAAACGTAATACATAGTTATACTTCACTTTTCAAAATAATGGGTTTTTCAAACATGACTAAAAATGGGCGTACTGACTGTTAAGTGTATGTACGTATGGTAATAAAGTCTTTTCATAACTATCGATGTGTTTCCACTACTTTTATCAAAATCCTTATATAAACTGATGATTCACAAACAAAGTGCACATTCGCTTTTCTACTTCGCCAAGTTTTAAAAATATCTATTAAAACAGTAAACAGTGTATACCTATTTAAATTTAAAGTTCTTCATTGTCTTCTGCCACTTTTTATTATGCAATTATAAGTCGAACTGAACTGAACAACCTCGATTTAATTTATGTATTTTATTGAAGAAAATTGCTACTACCGTTTGTATGAGAGGTGTCAACTCAAACATAGACATTAGCTGTGGGGAATTACTAGGTGCAGAAATATATATGTGCTAGATATTATTTGCAAATGCAACACGATGCTGTACGGAAGTGCATAAGATGACGTTCAAACTGTAAAAGGCCATTCACACTGGAGTTTATCTGAGCTAACGGAGTCAGTTCTATGTATCGACTAGCTCCGCTGTGCCTGCAGTTCAGATTTTTCAACTTGCTGCCCTATAGGGAAAAACTGGTTTTGGAGATGGGTCGGCTACGTCAGCCATGGAGGTAAGAAAGAAAGGAGGGGCCAACCCCGCACTACGAGTGAAACACTGCTTCGAGGCTTCGGTCTCCAGATAGAATGTTATTGGTTTACATTCAGAAGCTCCCTTGACAGAGCTCTGATAGTATTTCGACACACGACAGTTCCATACAAATCGAAAAACGGACACTTCCGCATAAAAGAAATATCCATTGTGTGATGGATAATAGCAATTTGTATAGTTTAGTGACATTTACGCAAAAATCACATCTTGATTATTTTTCGATAACTAAAAACAGCGATTTTGATTATGAATTTATTTTATAAAATTCTAAGCTGTTCAACTACAAAAATATAGATTTTAGCAAAAATGTTATGCTTAAAGAATGAAAAAATACCTTATGGTATCTTTAAAATTATATACGTCTTTCGATACCCTTGAGAGAGTATTCGTTACTTTTATTCTATGTTCCAAACGCACAGTGAATGCACAGAAATTAAAAATTTGCACTTGCCGAAAACTAAAAATATGAGACATGTATGGGTATTTATGCATATGCTTTCAAAAAGCATGTACCTGCCTTTAACAAAATACATAACTATTTATTAAATTATTTATAAATGTATTTGAAATGAAGGATTTATTCATTAATAAACTCCTGCGAAAGTTACTGTGAAGAAATCCAATTATTAAATGTATCTAAATTTATAATGATTACAAATATTACCTAAATATATAATAACCTTAACATTGAATTGTAAACATAAATTGAAATCCTGTTGACAAATACGTTATAAAACTATTTAAGCAAGAATTGTTCGTACTGGAAAGCAATCTGTTAAATGGTATTGTAAAGCAAATTCTATGAGTTACGTATTTAAGTAAGTAATAAAGAAGAGTTTTGGAATACGTATTGTTGAAATTATGGGTAAAAAAATCTGATAAGTATAATTAAAAGAATTATTCCCCTTACATTTTATAACTCAGTTACAAGTTTTAAATAATATTTTTTAAAATCCTTATTTATTCCCTTTCAGAAATATTCAGAGAAAGTTAGTACTATTTAAAGTATTTCGCTATTAAATAAAAGATGCTCTAATTTGAAATGATCGAATAGAGCATTAATTATAAATTGACTTATAGTTTTCGATTTAAAAGATGCCTCAGAAGCTAAAATATGTCCATATTGAGAGAAGTATTTAGGAAGAAGCTCTAAATAGAAAAGAAATAATGCTTAATTTTAACATTAATAACACAAACTTTGATCTTAATTTTTGTAATCCTTAACCGAATAAAATCGAATTACCTTAAAATTTTTTTCTAATGTAATTAACGAAAACTTGTGAAACTATTTCATTCAATTTAAACCGTTCTAAACAAACTGTCCTGTGAATGGGTATAGCATTTAATTAGGTTCAGAATGAAATGTTTAAAAACGTATTCTTTTCTCATACGTAGAACTCTGAAATATTCTAGAAAAAGAATATCTATCTATATCTATATATGTTTAAAGAAATTTAAATTCTTAACAAATACGTATAAAAGTAAAAAGTAAAAAGCAAATTTAAATTCTAAAAAAAAAGGAAAAAAGCCAAAATTTAAACATTTAAAATATGCAACATGTAAAAGATTTAATTCTCGAACTAATCTACAATATCATTTAAATTCAGAAGCATAAGCAAATCAAGTGCAAAATCTATCCATGAAAATAAATCTACTAATTTAATAAATTAAAATTAAAGTAAACAATTTTTTTAAAAATGCATATGTGAATGATCGTTGAGTAGGCAGGAGACAGACTTATCAAGGGGAAGTTGCCTCCAACCTAACTCTCCAATCATTCAATTCGTGTTTCGTCATTCATGCAGGCAAGGGTAAAAGTCAAAACCAAAAGTAATTCCAATAAAGTGGTACCTTAGAAATTAACATTTAAGTATTAACATTTAAGAATTAAAGTTCAAAAAGGAAATACTAATTAAGTCTTTTGAGAAACAAGCAAGTAAGTCAAGAATTAAACTTTTTCTTAAAAAATTAAATTTTTTTAAAAATTAATTTTATAAAATAATAAAAAAATCTAGAAACCAATGTATTTTAGAAATCCTTGTCTACAGAAACTTCCCCTACACGAATATGCATATCAATAAAAAGAAACTATAAAAGAACTATACATAATCCATATAAACCAATAAGAAATAAAAAACAAAAAGAATATTTACGACGTAATTTCAAAATATTTACATCCGATCGTGTCAAAACCTATTGATCCCTCACCCTTAATTGTAAGTCACTGAATGTTTTGGTCACCACGAAGGGATAGCCAGTGCTTCAAAGCAGTGTATGGGGAAAACCGGTTAGGGCCTCTCCTTCTTACTTTCTACCTCAATGACGTCAGCTGTCTCCATTAGCTCAGATAAACCCCAGTGTGAACGGCTCTTACAGCAGCATAAAGCCAAATAAACACTATCGTAACAGAATATAAGTATTAAGTATCAAAATCATGAAATCCATTTTTAATAGAAGGCAAGCCTGTCGGTAAACAAGAGTTTTTTTAATGAAAGGCGGATTCTAATGGTAGCTGTAGCGGATACTAACTAGAATATGATGCTAATTACTACAAATGAAAATAGCGCTTTAGAAATGTGTGCAAAATTGCACATATTATGACATAGAGAACTACACAAGAATGCTTGCATAATCTGAATGAAGGTGACTGCTAAACACATTTTTATGAAATAATACAAATTTAAAGTTGTGATATCAAACGAAAGCTTTAATTTATAAATATATGCTCGAAAGATTATCTATATAACGGAAAAATTAAAATTTGGTGATTTCCATATATTTACAAATGGAAGCATATTATTTCTTAGCACTTTAGCTGAAAAGTGCACTTTTACAAAATACTGAAATTCAAATATTGAGGTGAGTCTAAGTTTTGCGATATTTTCGTCACTTTTTTCCCCCTTAATCCGTAATTTTACAACGAATCTTTTTAACATTAAAAATTTAAGCTCTTTCGTTGCATCGAAATCTATATCTTCCTACCGATCTTCGATGCTATGGTGTTATAAGTTCTTACCATCAGACGGGGGAAAAAAAAAAAAAAAAATCTGTCTTAGATTCTATCTCCTCCAAGCTGTTGAATTCTAGCCCGCTATGATGTGAGCCATGGATCGAATTGGTTTCGTTTAATAAATTTCGGCAAAGCATGCAAGTGGCAAATGCCTAAGCGAATAGATACCTTCGTATAGGACACTGTAAAGGAAACTGGCTCGTATTCAAATGAAACATGAGGAAAAGCATTTCCTCGTGTTTCATTGTGGAATTCCGGTGAACGGCTTCATGGAAGCAGCCGTTCACCGGAATGCGAACTAACAATGTTGAATCGTCTTATCAACTGAACAACTGTTTGACAGATCAGAGCAATTAATAATTCAACAGTGCAAAGTCCGGACTGCGTGCTATATGTGACGTTAGTTCCATTCCCTTAAGTTTCTATAAGTTTGTTGAGTCGGAGAGCAGCCTGAAGTTATCCTGCGAGTCGGAAAGCAGCCTGAAGTTATCCTGCAGTAAAACAGCGTATTTTCTGTTCACCTGTCCTGGGTACTTCTGCTTGAAAACAGCATACATCCATTTCAGTTGCTGACAGTATACAGCCTGTATATAACGTGGCGTCAATAGTCCGACTGTTTGGAATGAATTCGCATTTATTATCCTCTTGAAATTTCATCGGACACAAAGTAGCTTACATGTTTGGCAATAGATTTAGGAAGCTGGCCTAGATTCAACATTACTTTTGCACGTTAGAACTATAAAAATAAATCTACTTTTCATCTGTAACATTTTCTTGAGGGGGACAATACATCACGCTGGATTTTAAAGGAATTGCTTGCAAAACAACAGTTTGCTTGAGCTGGTGTCATTTCATGGAGAACACGGCGGAAGCTTCTCTTGAGTTTCTTGATGTTTGGACAGTGAAGAACCACTGTGCTCTGGGATGTGTCCAGTTCATCTGATAATATTCATGCTAGTTGTTGTATTTGCTTCTTACTTCTTGGTGCACTTCCTGTTGGCAAAAATTGGCTGATTGCAGGAGTTCCTCTCACCTCATCGTTGATCGAAATTTTTGGATCCATTTGTTTGTTCCGCTCTGGTTCAGGACCCTTGCTATTTCGCATTACAGTTCTTTGTTTGTGTCCTCAGTGTTGCGTTCTAACTCAGACTCGAATAGAAAAAAAATTATTGTTGCGGTTTTGACGTTTATTTTATCCAAACTACAATCAGACCTACGAAATGAAAAACTAGTGCAAATAAACCATCAATATAATAATCTTTAATGCAGAATGTATTGCACTGAATGAATAAGTTAAAGCATTATATCGCTACCGCCGAGCATTTTATGTAAGTATTGTAAAATTATTGACTCACCCCAATATTTTAAGAAGAAATCACATGATTAATCACTACACTCTTCATTACTGAGTATTTATAAAATGGCGTTCATTGCACAATAATTGAAACTTTGACAATAAGACTGCAGTTCTTGCAGAGCACCAATGTAGTAGCATAAGGCTTCTAAATTTAAAAGCTTTAAAATGCACTTAAACACAGTTGAGACATCAACATGAAGCAAAGGAATATCATGATGATTTATAATGCTAAATGTTTATATCATAAAATAAAAATTTCTGAACATCCTACAAAGCTTTCATAAAGAATATACGACAAGTTTATTTTTTGTAATTGGCATAAAAGCAAAATATTGTAGAACAGAGCAAAAATATTTCATTTTAAAAGAAGAAAAAAAATTCAGATTTATCTATAAAATGTACAATTGCCAGCTATATTTTCTCTTCACCATTATATATTTCAGACTTACATTCTTAAAAGTTTTCAAGGGAAACTGAGCCATTTAGTCCTCACAATGTTCGCTATCAGCAAACAAATGTTATATCATATATTTCTTATGTCAAGAAATTCTGAAAATCAAACATAATTATTTTTAAGAAAGCTAAATATATTTATACACAACATTTCAAAAGAGAAAATGCAAGTTCTGTCATTTAATAACTTCTTGCAGACAACTAACTCCTTACAGATCATTGCAGCATTTCTTTTCTTTCATGCTGTTCTGTAATGTCTTGATTTTAGTTACTAAGTAATGTAATGAAAAAAGCTCTCTTTGTACCTAACGGTCAAGTATAAACTTCTAAACATCAAGAACAACATTAAGCAGCGTATTGAAGGCGGTCATATTACCAGTGTTCCATCACGGTAAACAATCAGGATGTTATACCTGAAAATTAAACAAAGTTCTGAAATAAGAAGCAAAGCAATATCAAATTAGTGAATGCAAAATATAACTACGAATGTCTGCTCATGCAAAAGGAATCTAAATTAGTTTGGAATAAAGCATAAAAGATCTAAGATCTTATGTAAAATATATATTCTGAGATACACATTTATTATGATAAGTTTTAAATCTCTCGGTACATATTAAACCGGCGACCGTAAAACTGTCGCCAGACAGCGAGATTTAGACACAGTTATGAATAAGCGTAACCTCTTGACACACTCATAGTATCTATGCCTTCATTTCGTGTAATTCCGATTGATTCTTGATAAGTCCCATTTTGTTTCGATAATCAAGGATATAAATTAACTGTTATTGCTGTATATTTTCTTGCATTTTAAAAAAGTGACATTTTGGATTTCACAGATTCTGCCATCCATATTCCCACTACTCTCGCAGTACTCGTGGAACTTAACTTTTGATCACTTGCTGGTATGCTATATAGAATACAGAAGTGTGTATAATATATCTAAGGCTACCATTGAATTGGAGGCTAACATAAAACATTCTGTGTAGACATGTTCCAAATACGGGACAGCTTTGTGACAAGAAATGACATCAAGGCCGTCATTAATAACATTAACGACTATTAATCTTGATAATAATAATGACGTTCACTGCAAAAAAAAAAGGGGGTGCACTTCTATATCTCCCGTTCTTACTGTGGCGATTGACGAAATTCAAATTGCGCTTTTCATGTCTCGCAAGTGCGACTTAGGATATATATTATATTTATATATAGCACTGTTCTAACACAGGTATTTTGACATGAAATCGGACTTTCTCCGAAATAACATACCAATGTTTTTTCCATATTTCGATTCTATGACTCAAATTATGCCTAAATATTAAAATTTTGTAAAATTTGATGCGAAATTTACGCAGAAATTTATCTTGGCGAATTTTTTCAGTTTCCGCCAAGAATAATTCACTTGGTGAATTTCTTAATATACGGCAACCTATTTTCGTTTCCCTTACATTGAGCAGGAGCGGAAAAAAAAGTTACATCTTTCCTACCTTTTTACATTGTGCATGAGCGCAAAAAAGTCACATCGTTCCTACTTCCAAATAATTTTAATAAAGTGCCTAAACCACATTTAATGTTATTATCGCTTTTAACAAATATGCCAAATTTCAAAACGCGCCAATATATTTCCGAAGATTCACGAACATCTTCGGAAATTTTGATTAAAAAACTGCAATTTTTTGCACGCAATCTTAGAAATACATTTACTTTAAGATGAGGGTAAAAATTTGATAGATTATAATTCGAAATTTTTTTGCGAAAAGTTTACAAAAATTATTTTAAAAATAAGTCATAAAATAGGGACGAATTTTATGTGGAATGAACCTAAATTCTAAATTTCCAAATGTGAAAGGAAGAATCAAATAAGTTTAATCAAAAAAGATATATTAATAAATATATACCAAACTCAATTAACATAGAGAAGCAAAAATTTTGAGGGCGAATTTTTTAAAAACTACTCGTGCGGTTTTTACAAAACTTGACAGTTTGGCGTAATTTGAGTCATAGAATAGAAATATGGAAAAAAAATGGTATGTTATTTCAGAAAAAGTCCGATTTTATGTCAAAATACTTTTATTAGAATAATGCTGTACATAAATCTAATATATATCCTAAGTCGTGCTTTCCAGACATGAAAAACGAAAGTTGAATTTCGTCAATCCGCCCAGTAGAACGGTAGATATAGAACTGCCCCCCCCCTTTTTTTTTTTTTTTTCGCAGTGTACATAAGGAGGCCACAATTAAAACTAAGAGCAATAACTCTTGTGGTCCAGCTGCTAAATGAAACTAGAGGAAGAACTAAACTTACAAGTAAGATCACAAAAGTATATAATATAAAAAGAAACCCGAAACTCAAGACAAAAATTAATGAGAAGAATCATAGAATCATGGAGGAATTACGAAGTGAGAAGATCTGCAATTTCAAAGATGGATCTTTCTGAATTGATTTTAAAAAGATCAGTAAACATATAAGTAAACCTGTCAAAAACAATGCTAGCATGCATATTCTGATGAATATCAGATCAGTAAACCTGTCTGATGAGGAAAACAAGAACACTTGTGTTGTATATAAAGAAAAGCGATTTAATGGCGCACATTTTTAACAAGAAATATTATTTTATAGAGCTTAGCTTTGTGGATTGTTTGGAGAACGAAAAAAAAAATTGAGATTTATATGATTACAGGAAAGCTTATAATTAGCTTGTAGGGATTTATATTCATTTTGAATTAACCAGTTAAATTTAAGTTTACTTTCTTTCCAATAAGCTTTCATTCCCCTAATTATCAATGCCAGAATATTTAAATTTGGTAGCGCGTGAAGGAATGCAAATTCTACCATGAGGTTAGAAGGTTTAAATACCGAGTTCTAAGAAGGGAAAGTTAGAGAGTGTGGCTAAGCGCTATACCTTTGGTAGCGTGAGCTTCTAGTTCTGCTCTTATTGCTGGTTAAAGCGGCGTAACAACTATTACTTTGCTGCTACTAGACTTCGACGCAGTATGAAGTAACAGGATTATCTGAGCCCTGTAGAGTAATTCTACTGTTTGTTAATATCTTTGAATTTTTAGTTTAGTTCTTGTTATTTGAGTTACCGCTCCAGCGAGGTGTAGTTTGTTTAGCGTCAAGTCGACGCATTGTGAGTTTTAAATAGTTTTAATAAAGGGTTCTTTTAACCCTGCTCTTGTGTGTTTCCTACACGTATTTCAGCTGTCACATCAAAAGATAAACAAGTAGATATTACAAGCTTACTTATTAGCTATCCTTTAGATCATGAGTTTAAAGCTAGGAAGACGACACGTAGAAATTATGAAATTAAAAAAAATAATGACATTATGAAAGATTATGACCTCAAGGGAAAAAAAAATCTGAAAGCTTTCAGATTTTACTTTGCTCCCAAAGGGGCTTTTTTTTTAACGTTTTGTGTGTTACCTTCACTTATTAAATATCATGTTCTTCGCACTTAAACCATAAAATTCAATTCAACAGCAACGTCGCAAATAATTTTAAAATGAGCATATCATTAGAATTTCCGATAGACATTTCCGTTGTTTTTTTCTTTCAGTACAGTGTTGCCATTGCTCGCTTTGAGATAGTTGAGTTTGTTAATCAAAAATTCGTTAAAGTGTTACAAAATATGAAATCGATAATAATTACTCAAAATTTGATGGCTCTAGGTACCGTTGTTTTACCACAATGCGAGAAAAGTACATTCATTTATGCAGATTCTTTATTATTTAATTTCTTTAAATATAACACTAGGCGATAATATTTGTTGGCAATAATATTTCTCCCGCCTTTCTAAGGTGCCTTCGTGGTGTCGTGGTTCTGGTTCTGCACGCTGGGCCGGTATTCCAGAGGTCCGTGGTTCGATTCCCGGCGAAATCGATTGCTCATTTTTCATCTTCCCTACTTCCAAGAAATACCTAATGTCTCTACAGTAGCGCCCGAACTAAAAGGGTTGTGGATGATGATTCTCCGCACCCAGGATTTGGCGACTAGGTCCCCTAAAAAAGCCCTAGTCGCCCTTTAAAAAGGGAAGTATATAAGGTAGTATTTCTCCCGCTTCCTTAACGTGCCTTCGTGGTGTAGTGGTTAGCACACTGAGCCGGTATTTGAGAGGTCCGTGGTTCGATTCCCAGCGATGGCGGTTGCTAATTTTTCATCTTGCCTGCTTTCAAAAATCCTAATGTCTCTACAGCAACAATTTGAAAAGCGAAACGAACATTTAAAGTTTTCAACGCAAAATGCCCAAAACGAAATGGCCTAACTTCTTTTGGGCTAAAAAGAAAGAAAGAAAGAAACTTAATAATTATTTGCTTATCTTATTAATTATTTGCTTATCTTATTAAACATTTCTTTTAGTGACTTTTCTCATTATTCGATTTCCCCCCCGAAATGTAGGCTAAAAAATCTTTAAATGTTTTAACTCAAAACTTTGTAAAGATTAGTTTATTAACGTCCAGTGTAAGTGTTCAGTAAAAAAATGAACGTTGTTCTGAAGTTTCGGTGGGATCTGACTCACCAATGGGAATTTGCGCCCTTTGTAGACTTTTAAATCATATCACCTTTTAAAATACACAAGTTATTGGTTTTCGTAATTTTTAAATATTCCATGTAATAATACTTTCGTTCTATATTTGTTTTTGTTTAAAAATATGCTGCAAAATCTATAAAAGGAATCTTAATTGTTTCCGTACACTATTTTCATCAAATGATGTTGAGTAAATAAACCTCAAGATTCAAGAGATTTAATTATATATTTAATTTAAATGTTCCTGGTAAACATAGATGAATTTTTAAAAAGTGTATTCTTAAATGATTTTAAAATTAAACACAAATTTCAAATTTTCTTTAGCCAGAAACTTATAATTATTAAGTAATTTTTCGCCTTTATTTTTTTTATTCTTTCTTCTTATTGTTATAAGAAGGATTAAAGAGATCTGAGCCTCGAAATTTTGGAGAACCTTTTGGTTTACTCCTGTTTACTATCGACCATTTCTTTCTCGGATTCGAGAAAACTGGGATTTTCCCCATCTCTGCGTATTTATATGCTATGTATAGTGCTTTGTAATAGTTTAAAGTGTCCTATACAGTTGCTTAGGGACATAAACTTTCGGAAGGAAACACATAAAAAGTATCTAAATGACGCTCAGGAATTTTAACAAAGAATGAAAAAATGAAATCCGATGACTGTTTTTTAAAGACAACGTATAAGAAAGGTAGCACTGATTATTTTTCACATGCGATAATGATAAAAGAGATTCGAGTTCCATTAATAAATATATGAAAATTATTAGGGGCTTCTTGTCCTGATATTTCTTTTTTCTAGTAATCATAGTGCATGTACGTGCATTTAGTTAATCATGTAAATATCATTCTGCATTTCAGTTTCAGTCATCAAGTCTGAGAATTTGTATTAAACAAATGAAAATGAGGATATGGCGATATGAGATATTTCAGCGTATTTAACAAATATGTGTATTAACTAAAATTTAATAGCCATTTACACAGATAATTATATTACAATTACTTTTGCAGCAATGAAGTCAGTTGCTCATAGTGAAATACGTAAAAAATACTGGGGAGGTAATACAGATTCTAAATGTTATCAAGTAATTAATATAAATAAACAAGATAGAATGCATAAAGATACAAATGTGCAGACTGGAACATTTTGAAAATTTTAATTATGGTGACGTGCGTTTGCAAATTAGGAGTTTATCAAATGTTACTACTAAGTATGCAAAGATTAAGCGCTTACCTGATAAAACTACTTTCAAGATGTATTTTTTCGAAGAGCATTGTGGCAGGTGTACAACCATTTTACAACTCTTGCGTTTTTCTCAATAATCGATGTGTCTGTTGGAGCATGCCTTTGGAGATCGCTGTTTTTCAGACCTTCCGTTTGTTGAACTACAAGAGCAGAATCTTCGCTACCAGAACTAGAGAGGCGGTCTTCACTGTTTAAGGAGCTGATACTGTCGAAGAAGTGAACTGGGCTTTCCGGTGGAGCTGTCAGATTCTGCCACATATTGTTATCAAGTCCCATCATATTGAAAAATCGCTCTAATTCAGAATCGCTCGAATTATTTGATTCTGGAGCAACACTGATAGTTTTTGAGAATCGACAGTTGACGTCTGATTTTGAACGACTTACTGTTTTCTTTTTCTCATCTGTTGCTGGAAAATTAATTACAGGAGAAGGATTGCTGCTGTTTATACGTGCTTCAAAACTTTTCACTAGATTTTTTATTCGATCTGAAGAAACAGAGCATTTGAATGAAGAACTTCTGCTAACATAATCTGATGTCTTCGAGCTTTGCTTCTTATCTTCACGTTCTATAGCGTCATCGCCAACGGAAAAAGAATCTTCAGAGGGTACGAATGAATTCTGTTCGATATCCGAATGTTCACTTTTCTCCTCAGTCCTTTTTCGCATGTGTGAGTAATTACAATCTTTCTCTGCATCCAACTTTTGGGCATTGAAAGTCATTTGAGAATTATGTACATTTTCATTCAAATGAGTGCCATGCTTAGGTAAATGCGAAAACGTTCGCCTCTCGGTATTAAAGGGCCTTAGCTGTACTTGTACGCTATCCACATTAACTACTTCTGCACCTACTAAATCACAGCAGTCTTGCTGAAACAGCTTCATTCTATTTAATACACTATTTTCCGTTATATCAGGTGATTTTCTTCTTGATTCAAAGGTACTGCAAGATTTTTGAACGAAATCATTTTCAAAAGGAAGTACATTTTTGTTATCCGTCAAATCAATTTTCTGCACATAATTAATAATGTTGGGACAATCATATATACTTTTAATTCTCCGTTTCAACAGGACATCTAGTTGAGGCCCTGTGCTGACATGGAGATTCGAACTGTGCTCAAAATTTTGTTTGCAGTCCAAAACACTTTCTGTTTTAACGTAGTTTGCTTTCGTTTCTTCCAGACGCTCAACTGCACTTCTTCTGTTAACTGAAAAGAAGGAAGATAGTAGTTATACTAGAAAATGAATGTCAGCTTTATATGTAAACAGCAATTGACTATATTTACCCATTAATGCTGTTATATACACTATAGCAAGGGGGGGGTTATAGCGCGACTCTTATGAAAATATATATGTGTATATATGAAATGTGGTAAACTAAAACTACTGTATGTCCAAAATAAATTAATAAATTATTTCATTTCTTTAAAGTGGTTAGAAAAAACATGTTTCACTATTTTTAAAATGATGTAAATAGCGACTTGTGGTTTTTAGAAAATCTAGTTGCCGTTCTCGAACATTCCTGAAATTCAACATGCGGCTCTTAACGATATGAAGTTTAGTTACTCCTGCTATATAGTGCATAAAATTTGAAATACACATAATGGCATAAAAATATTTAATTCACTCATTTTGAGATCTAATTAGGAAAGTCATAAATAAAAAGTCACAGTCTTTATAAAGTTATACTGAAAACTGCTATTTATAAACTGTTTCTATGGTTATTGGAGATCCGCAATTTAGTTTTGTTTGGTATTTCCAGGCGGTAGAATCTCAGGTATAATTAATTAATCATTTATATTTATAAATGATTAATCCATCTTAGTGCTGAAAAAGATCGTTTTTCTGATATAGATTAGGCTGATACTTAAAGGATTCATCATTATGTATTCAGACGTGATTCCAAAACTATGTTCTGGCCGGAAGTAGTAAGTTGAAGTTAATTTGACAGGAAAGGAGTTTAACTCAAAATTTCACTGTTAATAAAATTAACATAATCCTTACAAAGTAATTCCTAATTAAAGGCCACACATTTTCTTTTAATTTTAAGGAATTAGAGTAATTTTTTACAAACATTGCAAACATATTTCTGTTGTTGTTGTTATCTTGTCCATATTACATGGAAAAATGGTTGCCAGAGCCTACTCCGAAGAGAGGTTGAACTTCTATTTTCCATATTTACATATTTCTGTATAAAAAGAAATTACAGAATAGATTTGTACTTTTGGAACGCACCATGTAATTAATTTGTACACATTAAAATTTCAGCAAAGGGCTTAATACTACCTTTTTTACATAATATCCCAGCTTCTGATGACATACTTTGTTGCGATTCTTCTGTAAAAAGGGATCTGCTTAAAGTAAAAGTAGTCTAAAGCTTCTACTCAAAATTGATAACCTTTTAGTGCGTTACCATTAACAGTAGCTTGGAAGAAATCAAAGAACAAAAGACATTAATAGTTAATCAAAGCGAAGCCAAACTTTAAAAGTTTGTAGAGACATTAGGTATTTTTTTTGGAAGCAGGAAAGATGAAAAATTAGCAACGCCTTCACTGGGAAGCATATAAGCATTCTGTACCGCACCACGGGCATAGGGAAAAATCCATCCCCGTGATTGCATACGGCTTCGGATGACATAATTTTCTCTACGCTTAGGAACGACTTTGCTTTGCTTGGGCTCGAAAATACACCTCCATACCGTTTATTTACATTTTCATAGCAGTACCCAAAAGATTACTATCGTTAATGACGGGCGTTGAATTTTTATTGCGGATTACTCTTATTACGGTATTGTAGTATGATGAATTTAATATAAAAAATATAGCGCTTTTTTTTTCATAGAGAAAAAAATCAGTATCGCTAACTCCGTCAATGTGTATTAATATTATGTGCAGAGGTTTTTAATAAATGCATTCTTAATTTAGAAGCCTTCATCTTAAAGGTTTTGTGATTATTAATTTATTGATTCATGTTCATTCAATATAGATTCTTTGCAGATGCAATCTCCGAAAACAAGAGACAAGTCAGTTTTCACAAACAGCAAAAACGTTAGAAGCTAACATAATACACAGTAAATTCACGATATTTGTAGTCAGTCTTAAAAAGTAAAATTTATTTTTGAAGTTAGACTACTATAGATTTGGAACACAGAAATAGAGATAACTATGCATAAATTGAATATTTCCCATAAATCTGTGCTTTATGAATACTGCCCATTTTTAATGTATAATATATTTGTACCTTTGCATAAAAATAGTGTTTATCAGAGAAAAGAGTTTTTTATATACGTGTATTCAGCGAATATACTGAATGCGTTTTTTAATTTCATTTAAGGCAACGGAATATTAGAAGTGTGAAAGACATGGATATTAACATGAAAATAACATATACAGTTGCAAAGGAAATATTTTCTCCAATGTGAAAGGAACAGAATGCGACAAAATTTAAAATCCTAATAATTATACTTACTAGCACAATTGCCTTTACATTTGAGTCGAGATCGTTGTGCAATCTAATGTGCTTTGCACTAAATTTATGAACTCAGTTATTTATGTAATCTAAGCATTTGAGATTGCTTCTGATATTAACTGCACTTTTGAAGGAATTTATAATTTTATTATTCCATAAACAAGATGTCATCCGCCTGTCAATTTTTACGTCTGGCATTATTATTCAAAGAGTACAAATGATAACGTTCATGATTCCGTATCGCTCATGCGCGTCATTCAAAGAAACGAAACTATAAGAATTCCGCCTGAACGTCATTACACCAAGAGAAAATGATGCCATCGGAACGTATGTCCAATCACAAGTATGGATTTTCCCTATGCGCGTGGGGCGGTACAGAATGCTTATATGCCGCTGGGAATTGAACCTCGGACCTCCAATTACGCGCTGAGCGTGCAGACCACTACACCACGAAGGCACGCTAAGAAGACGGGAGAAATACCTTATATACTCCCCCTTTTTTAAAGGGCGACTGGGGTTTTAGGAGAAACAATCGCCAAATCCTGGGTGTGGATAATCATCATCCACCACCCTTTTAATTCGGGCGCCACTGTAGAGACATAGGCTTTTTTTGGAAGCAGGAAAGATGAAAAATGAGCAGCGCCTTCGCCGGGAATCGCACCACGGACTTCTGGAATACGCGCCCAGCGTGCAGACCACTACACCAGGACGAATGCACCCTAAGAAGGCGGGAGAAATACGTTATAAGTTCAATAGACCTGTTCAACATGCGGAATGAAACGATAGCAGGAGAAGGAGGCAATGCTACTGAAAGGAAGAAAGACCACTCTTGCTGTTTCTTCTTAACTCCAATTTTCGAAGTTTTATTTCTTCGATTCTACTGATTTTATGGGCTTTCCATTCAGTTCGGCCATGGAAATTAAATAATATTTTAAAAATTCTATATCTACTTTTGAAGAATTCGGCTGTAATAAAATTTAATGTGCTGTAAAGTAATAGACTTATACAACAACTTAATATTTCTTCCTGCTAATTTCTACTGTGTCTGATGAGCAAAATGCAAACATTAAAAATTATTAGATGACATTTATCAGTTTTAGGGGGGGAAAGTATGTCTTATTTCCTTCAATTAAATGAATAATTAAATCAATAGCTATGAAACACTTATCTAATGCGTATATGAATGGTCCGTCACTTTAAGAAAGTTTTTTTTAAGTAAAAAGTTATTCATTTAAATCGGTCAATGGTAATTTAAAGAAAACAATAAGTGGTTTATTTCTCTAAATTTTACCAAATGAAGTGGCTTCTTAAGGATTATCGGGACTTGTTTATAAGTATTATATAAATAAGACTCAGTTTCCCATAAAAGGTCCTTTCTAGAAATCAGCTGACCTTTCCGTCTTATAAGGAAATTGTAAGGTTTAATTTTGCCAACATGTGATTTTTATACTAATTATATTCCATAATTCCTGTTTCTTTTGTCTGCCATCATCAGAAAGTAAATGGATATCACTAGAAATGCAAAAAGCGAGCGAATTGTTTGTGTGGATTGTACCAACCACCCAGTAAAGCTGTTTACTCTGAGAGACACTCACTTATTGCCGATTCCTGTATTTAAGTGAAATTTATATTTATTAGCGTGCAGGGCTAGAATTTACTTTAGTTGCGGCATAGTTAGTTAAACGCTAAAAGTAATTATTTGTGCTGTATGTATTGAAATCTTGGAATTACTGAGACCCTGTAAATAGCGATGGTTAGTGTTTGATAATTTTTGTTGTACTACAAAAATAGATTTTAATAAACCTTTAAGTTTTATCTCTTGTTTGTTTTACTGAAATTTAGATCCTTTTTAACGTGAAGGAGAAAATTTATCGTACCAAGAGAAGGCTTAACGGGTCTAGTTAACTAGCTAATTAGATTTAACTTTAAGTAAGGTATTCTTTCCTTCCTTTCCGTATGCCTTCGTGGTGTAACTGGAAGCACTCTCCACGGGTATTGGGAGGTGCAGAGTTCGGATTCCGTCTAGGGCAATGCAGATTTCGTCAGTCTCCTAACTATAACCTTATGATTCTACAGCTTTACAAAATGAATTCAAACAAATTTGCATATTATTATTACTATTATTTCATTATACCAAATATTATCTGAAAGTCTTGAAGGCACAAAATTTTATGACTAAGTAGCATAATAGTCACTAAAGTAATTTATGAAACTTTTCCGAAATTTATTTGGTTTCAACACTAAGACCTGTTGATTCATACGTGTAACATATAGAAATATTAATATGATGTAAAAAATACTGTTTGTGACATTTCATTACAATTAGGCTATTCTTAAACAATTCTTAAGAAGAAAACATGTGAAATGGGAAACATAACAGCCAATAATAAGCAACATAATAACTATTAATAAAAGAACTAATTGCAGAAAATAAGAGTTTGTTGATTTCTTAAGTGCAAATAACCTAGGCATCTTCAACATAAAATCTTAAAGCCGCCAACGTGATTTGAATTTCTTCAAATGCCTTTTTAAGTCTACGTTTAGAAATCTTTAGTCTGTTAGTTTAGATATTATTTAAATCAATTAAAAAATTTAACCAACCTTTAAGATACATAGTTATTCATTTTTAATTAATCAGTATACTCCTTCCGAATGACTAAAATCCTTCAAGAAAGATGTAATCATCTCTTCTATAACTTTCCATCCAGACACTTTATATATAAAGTCGCAGTCAAGTTCAGGTGGGCATCGACCTCTGGAATACGAGCAAATGATTGCACAAATGCAATGCATTGCATTCGTAAATAGTTGCGAGTATTTAACGTCAGTGACTCACATTAGAACAGATCAACGTCCCGTTTTCCGTATTACCAGGGCAAACGGTTTGCAAGCAGGAAGTGCAAATAATTGACAATAGTATCAAAAACATCAAATCAAACTATGCAACAAGGTGACTAGGCAGAAGGGACAAAAATGAGGCGTTACGGTTGATGGCAACTCATTCACGCAAAAATAACTCGCGTTTGAAATCTTTAACTAAGAAATGTGGTTATCTAATGTGGACAAAGTTATTTTCCATTTTGAAACGAGAAAACATAAAATAACAACATAGGCGAAATTTTCAGTACTTCAATAGCGTTCAATAGAAATATAATTAAATAATCTATACGGCATTAATTATAAACGTATCCCAAATCTCTTGGAAATCTCATTATGTATCAGCAAATTACCTTTCGATAAACAGTTACTGCAGATATTCATTAGTGTTTTATATCAGATTTTAGTTTAGTTCCACAGTTTCCTCATACTTGCGTATTGTAAATTAAAAATTCGTTCAAATAGCAGCACTTAATTCAATACAAGGTTTCTCAAGAACACCACATTACATTGAAGATTTACGCGCATAATGAGTAAGTGTTTCTTAGAAAAGAAAGTTACTAACTACTGAAAACTCATTAAAAGCTCCCTTCAGTGTTTCAAAGCATTATACATGGTTCACGAAAATTCTATTTATTGTTTAACATGGGATAAGCCGAATGAGATGATGAACCAAAGAGCTCGAAAAGAAGCAAGATAAAAATTAGGGGTCGTTTCAGAGGCCCTGCAAACTTGAACAATAAAATCTCTAAAATAAAATGCTTCAAAATGCTCCATGGTTTGGTTCCATTTTCCACCCATATGACATTAAAATAATAATTCCTGTCAACCTTGGTTCCGGTATTACCAAATAGAAGTCGGTTACAAAAGCAATCGACAGTGTTTTCCTGTAATTCAGAAAAAATGTTTCTCTAGTTATGTAAACAGCAATGTATTAAATATCTACACTTTTTTTAGAAACTTGATTTGTTTTAGGTATGTTTGATATTTATTTCATAATTACTTTCTTTTATTGTATCAGGGAATAACATCACAACATTATTTTGGAATCGTTGTATCACATCAGTCATTGCGCTAAAAAGGAAAATCTGTGAATGTGCAATATGTTTCAGTCTCGTTGAGTACCAGTTTTAAAAAATATATGGTGTAACGCTTAATTAGTTATTTGCTGTTATTGACATTATTATTTCATTTGTTGTAGGTTTTATTTCGAGAATATTAGTATAAATCTTTGGCGGCAAAAGTTTAATATAAACTCTTGATAGCGAAATTTCACGATTTATTCCATGAACATCTGCTTTATTTCAGATGTTTATTCTGCGTGATAAATTTACTGGTATAATCGTAACCTTACATGATAAATGAAAATTAATGAAGTCCAAGTTGAGGAAAGTTAAAATAAATATTTATAAGTGATTAACCACTGTTTTCCATAAAAATAGCTTATCTTTTTGTTGGAAGAATTGGAAAAGAAAATCATAGATTAGTTAAGGGGACAGTGAACGATAGTTTTAGCAAAAATCGACCAAAAATTGGGAACTAAAAATTTCATATGATAATATTCTACGTTTTTAACTTTATCGTCTACAAAAAACCGCTTGTGTGTAAAATTATTTTTAAATATGTTATAAGCATTTGAATACGCTTGTTTACATTTTTTGGGACATTTAAATGTCAGTAAAACGGTAAAAAAATATTTGAGAATTGTTATTTTAATTTCCGCGACTAATACATTTTACTATTAGTAAGATATAAATGTGTAAGATATGAAGACCACAATTTATGCAAGTTTGTTTCATTGTTCTTCCACGGATGACTCACCCAGACATTATAAATGCCTAATAGGTGTCATATCATGTTTCCCCCCCCCCTCCCAGAGTAGCATTGCCAAAAATAAGAAAACTAAATCTCATTCAATGATGGAAAGAAAAAAAAATTAACAGTAAATGTTTTATCCAAAATAATGCCAGTGTATCAAATACTAGCAAGTAATGAACTTTTAGGAAAATGCATATCTGGAGAAACACAAAACACTAAAGAGAGTTTACATAGTATCATTTGAAAGAACTGCCTCAGAGAAACATTTGTATCGAAAACAGATTTGAAATAACTGTTACAGAAATTAGTAACTTCAATTTTGAGTATTTAAATACTTTAGGTATGGAACAGGAAGATATAAATTCATTTTCAATATCTATTGGGCAAAGCCAAGATACACATAGTATTGACCAATGCAAAAAGAGGTGTTCGTCTGGATACAAGAAAAGAAGAATTGCAAAAAAAAAAAAAAAAAAAAAAAAAAAAAACTGTGTAAAGTAGCTAAACATAATGAAAATGTAAATAAGGAAGATGAAACATATGGACAGGAAGTTTTTAAAGTGATTCTTAATTTAAGAAAAATATTTAGTTGAATTTCTGAAAGTGTTCGAGAAAATTCTAAATAATATTAAGTATTTCCCATTCTATCTACGATTTTATTGTAGAAAAATTATTTATGCATACGTAAAAATAATGTTTAAAATAATTTATTTTAAATAAAATCATATTAGGATATAAAATATATTAGGAATTATATTAGGACACACTGAGAAGTAAATATTAAAGGTAAGCGTAAAAATATTCTTAAAATGTATTTTTCTCATGATGAAATTTTCGTGATTATAACATTTTCAAAATGCTCCATGCGCTTTAGTTTATGTTCAAAATGATTGTAATTTGTAACATAGATTCATACTTATACATGTAACAAAACTTAGTATGCATTTTTAAATGCAAAATTCATTAAGGGGATAAAAGTCCAATTAAAGTGTATTAAAGTGGGAAATTTTGTCCAAAATTTAGGTATATGTGAAAGAAATATTTATTAAAAACTAACGTTTTATGCAATTCACTAATTGATACTAAATTGTGTTTGTAATGCATTTTCAATAAAAATAAAGCAAAAATAACAAGAAACAGAAAAAAATTACGTCGCATGGAGCATTTTGAAAAAAAAATTTTAAAATTAAAAAAAAAAAAATTAAAAAAAAATTAAAGTGCAATAAGCCAGAGATTTTTTTCAAAGATATTTGATGTAACTATAGTAAAATATACATGCATGCAAAGTTTCATACCTCTATGACAATAATTTTAAAAAACGTATTTCAACGTCCACTGTCCCCGTACATAAATGTGGAGTTTAAAAATATCTAACTCCATGGTCTAAGTATATTACTTTCACGCTAGTGCAGCTTTACTAAGAAAATTCTAATTACTCTTCAGAAGTGTATGAAGAAAGTAAGACGTATGATGTTTCTGTAAGACGATAAGACGTCATTAATGTTTCATACGAGTATATCTTGTAAATAGTTTTTTTTTTTTTTTTTTGTTATTAGTTACGTGTTGTGAATAATAATGTAAGTAGTTACTCGCTCGTGGTGAAGTCTCATATAAATATTTGAATTCTGCAGTGAAATTACACATTTGAGGGTACTGTATGTTTGATAATCTCGCCAAAGCTTAATGAACCATTTTAAGGGCGGTCTTGCATAAAGGTGCCAGCACTTTCAAGGGATGTGTGACTGATTTTTAAAATTTGCTAAATTTCATATGCTGTTGGCACCATTATGCCTAGTAAGTTTTAGCTTGTTTTTCAGAATAATTTAATCAAGATATCACAGCACCTTTATTCAGACTCGTGATACCTGCGTGCCGGCGCAGCCGCATATACTCGTATGATGGCACCCTTATTTTGCACAATAGTTCCGACCCTTTTATACTGGAGATTAGGGTAATGTTGAAGAGTTCACCAAACGATATTGTCTTAATGACGAAGGGATACAGGAGACAAAATGACAGCGAATATGTGTGCACTGCCTATACTTCTATATTGAAATAAATCCCTAATACGCAGTGTCGGTGCTAGGCTTTTCGCCTCCCGAGGCAATTACTTCAGATTCCTAGCATCTGCTGCCCAGTAATTTCCAAAATTTTAAAAATTGCACCGGGCGCCGGTCCTGCTAATAAAGCACTTTTAGGATATGTTTGAACTCTTCTGAAACGGTTGTCCTTTGCCAAGAAATGTGCCTGAACTAGAGTTACTCAAGTTACTGTTGAGCGTGCAGAATTACGTATAGAGGATCTTTCTTCTTAGGTGTCTGCAAACCGCCATTGCATAGAAAAGTAGATTAAAGTATTATTAGTTACATGCTGTTAATGCAAAGCTAATAATTCATTGTGTAAATACAGATACAACATAGCCAGCAACCTCATTTCTTAGTAACTCTTCTTAAAACAAAATTCCCAAATAAACTTTAATAAAAATAAATTAATAAATAAAGTAAAACAAAATTTTCTGCAGAAATGAATTACACAGGCATACGGATATACAGCAGCTAACTTATAATTTGCCTTAATCATCTAACAAATTTATTTACCTTCCACGTAATTTATTTATCTTCCAAGTTTCCTTTTCAATTAAAAATTATGTTAACTAAGGCCATAGCAGTGATTAGAGGAGTGACGGAGTTAAAAATTGAGAAAGAAAGCAAAATTACAATGTAATAAATTAAAATACTTAAGGCACCCAATTTTTAAATTTCTCTCAGGTATTAAAACCTGTTCGCACGATCCTGATATTAAAATCTGAAATTCAAAACAAGCGCACGTGAAACCTAATAAAACGAGATATGGAATTTTTAGTTTGAAGATGAACTTTCAAGTTTAATAGCAATTTCGACAGGACTTAGAAAAAATTTAATTTAATTTTCCAACCCAAAATACAAATTTAGGAAAAAGTTTTTGGAGCAGATTTATGATCAAAATATAGTTTACCTGAAGCTTAGATTTGAATCAACAGCAAGACATTTATAGTTAACATTTGCAGGGCATGATTTAACGTTTGAAGAATAACAGATTTCGTTTTATGTTTATATTCCACAAAATATTAGATACAATATGTACCTTATTATCTTAAATCATATGAAATGTTTTTAAAATATCTAGTTTTATTTTATACTGCTATGATATTCTGTGATTAATTTACCCACGTTCCATTTGTTTTACACATGATTAAATTAAGATACATTTATTTGTATTTAATTTATTATTTATCAGCTAATTAATTTAATCATTTATAATATTTTTAAATTTTACTTTATTACGTTCAAACTGAAATGACAACACTGCATGCGAACATTTCGTAATTGCGGATTGTGGCATTAAGCCTAGCTGTCATTCGTTATCGTATTGTTAGCTTGCGCCTATTTGCTATGCGAGTCTAGTACAGCTATTCGTCCTTGATGCTGAGTTGTATTTTCCTTTTCTTTCCTTTTCGTTGCGTCTCTCTGTGCTTTTTGAAATGTGCTACAAAAAACAAAAAATCTTTTAAATTACGTCCAAAGGGGCGTTTTTTTAATGTTTTGAGTGTTACCTTTATTTATTAAATATCATATTCCTTGCACTTAAACCATAAAGTTCAGTTCAATAGCACTGTCGCAAAATAATTTAAAAATGAGCATATCTTTAGAATTTCTGATACACAGTTCCGCGCGCTAAAAATAAAAAGGTTTCCCCTTCCCCCGGTGGAATGTTGCCATTGCTCGCTTTTAAATCGTTGATTTTGTTACTCAAAAATTTGTTAAAGTTTTACAATATATAAAATCGATAATAAAATAAATTCTAAATTTCAAATTGGGTCTTTCACATGCCCATATTCGTAGGAGGATAATGTCATTCAAAATTCGATGGCTCTATATACCGTTGTTTTATCACAGTGTGAGAAATATACATACATTTATGCAGATTTTTCATTGCTTAATTTCTTGAAATATAATGCAGGACTCTAACATTTGGTGGCAACAGTTTGAAAAAGTGACTCGCCGTTTATAGTGATTCAACGCAAAATCGCAAAACGGAAACAATAGTCCTTCAGAGACAAAGCCCCTTTAGACTTAAAAAAAAAAAAAAAAAAAAAAAAAAAAAAAAAATGTTTTTGTTTAAGAGAATTGCATTTGAAACGGTTTTTATGCTTCGGCAAAATTTTAAAGACGTTTATTTGTACAGTAGATCACAACTGTACAAGTAGTTTCTC